ATGCAGCGAGTTGTTCGCGAGGCTCCGTGCCCTCAGTTCAGTGGCCGCCTTCCCTCTGCCATGACGTCCTTCTGCTTTTTGATATTCAAATGCCAGAGTCCAAATGCTAGATGCCGTGCGTGTGTGTGCGTGTGTGTGCATGTGTGTGCGCATGTGCATGCATGTTCGTATGCTTATGGAAGGAAATGCTGAAGAGGAACTTGGTGTGGTCTGAGAAGGCCTGGGTCCCCCTGACCCTTCTGGGGGGTTGGCAAGTCAGAGCTAGCTTCCTAATGACACAGACGTCCTGTGCCGTTTTCCTGTGTGGACATTTGCCCTGAAGGTGCAGGAGCTGGGGGTGCAGGAGCTGGGGGTGCAGGAGCCGGGGGTGCAGGAGGTGGGGGTGCAGGAGCCGGGGGTGCAGGAGCTGGGGGTGCAGGAGCCGGGGGTGCAGGAGGTGGGGGTGTAGAAGGTGGGGGTGCAGGAGCCGGGGGTGCAGGAGCCGGGGGTGCAGGAGGTGGGGGTGCAGGAGCCGGGGGTGCAGGAGCTGGGGGTGCAGGAGCCGGGGGTGCAGGAGGTGGGGGTGCAGGAGCTGCTGTTTTGAGAAGACCCGGAGCCACGGGAGCCCTCCTGTGCAGGAGGTGTCTGATCACCCATTTTTTTAAAATATATTTTCATTGATTTTTTACAGAGAGGAAGAGAGAGGGATAGAGAGTTAGAAACATCAATGAGAGAGAATCATCGATCAGCTGCCTCTTGCACACCCCCTACTGGGGATGCGCCTGCAACCAAGGTCCATGCCCTTGACCGGAATCGAACCCGGGACCCTTCAGTCCGCAGACCGACGCTCTATCCACTGAGCCGCACCGGTTTTGGCTGATCACCCATTTTTATTTCTCTCTCCTCACACTCTATTTCCCTTTCCCAGTCTCCAACTCCAAAATCCCGGTGCCATTCCCGTGCAGGGCACTTCCTCATACACACCAGGCCGCTGAGCTCTGCCGCCGCGGGGGCTGTGCAGGGAAGCGCTCCAGGGCCCGGAGGGGCCAGGATGCTTGGACAGCGCATTTTTCTTTAGTATTCGCCAGGCCACACTCGTCTTCTTAAAATATTACTTTATTGATTTTTAGAGAGAGAGAGGAAGGGAGAGATAGAAACAGCGACGAGAGGAACGTCAGGCCTGCCTCCTGCATCCACCCACCCCTACTGGGGATCGAGCCCCCAACCCGGCATATGCCCTCACCCGACTGGGGATCGAACCAGTGACCTCTTGGGTCAATGCTCAAGCGCTGAGCCGTACCAGCCAGGCCCCCAGATCGTATTCTTGGCAGCTGCCCACTCTCTTGCTGACCACTGCACACCCAAGGGTCGGGTAGGGCTGGGCGGGCTTCTCTTGTTCTGCGGAGAGTGCCTCCTATGGGCAGGGCTGGGCACTGCATCTGGAGCTGCCGGTCAGGCAAGACGCCAGAGGCGCACCCAGGGGAGAAAGAGGAGGAGGGACCTGGTCTATTCAGAGGGTCAGAGCTCCTAGGTTAGAAGGCCAGAAGGGCTTCCTACTGGCAGTGGGTTGAAGGGGGCCAGATCGGATGGTTTAACCCAGGGACAAGCATGGGGGTGCTGTCCTGTCCCCCCTCCACTCCCCCCAGCCTCCAGTTCCGCGTCTGACAGACTTCACCTCAGCCAGCCTCGCCGAATCTCAGGCCCCAGGAAACCGTTTCTGCCCTAATCTCTCTCTTATCGCTCCCTCGCCTTCCTTCCCCGTTCTCCTCCTCCAAGGAGGGGCGATCTTCAAAGGAAAAGATGTGCCACTGTGAGTGCTCAGCCCGAGAAGTGGGCCCGATAAATTATTAAAACATGAAAAGACAGTGCGCCGTGGCTCCGGAGGCCGGCGGGGACCACAGAGCCACCCCAGGAGGGTGGTGGGCTACTGGCCCCCGGGGAGCCGCTGCTCAGAGCCCTGACTGGGCTAAGCTTCAGCACAGGCCCATCGCCGTTTCCTGCCCAGGGCCGGGGGGTAAGGGGGGGGTGTCCCGATGCCCCCACAGCCAGGCCTGGGCGCTTGCCGGGCTGGGGGGGCCGGGCTGGGAGGGCCGGGCAGGGGGCGCCGGGCTGGGGGCGCCGGGCTGGGGGGGCCGGGCTGGGGGGGCCGGGCTGGGGGGGCCGGGCTGAAGGGGGGGCAGCTTTGTGTCTGGCTGGACAGTGGGGATTTACCTCCCTGAGACTCAGGCTGGTAACTGCGGAGTTTGAGTTGCTGCTTTTATCTCTGTTTGAACTACAGAGAGCGCCTCCCGGGGGGCGGGGGCTCCTTTTCTCTCACGAAAGAAGAAAGCTGCGGCCGGTTTAAGGAAGGAGCCGGCGCTGAGCCCCGTGAGAAAGAACACGCAGAGCGAGGCTTTCGTGTCCACGCGCCCCGGCCCGCGGGGGGCGGCAGGGGGGTGGGGTGAGAGAGACACACAGCAGCCCCCGCTGACGCCGCTTCCAGACACATGCCCCCCTCCCTGCCACCTGCCCTGCCGTCCTGCCCTGGCCGCTCACAGAGCCCAGGCTGCTCACGTGGGCACCGCGGACCCTGGGGCTGGAGGTCCCTCCTTTCGGGGCCCTGTCTTGCCCACTGTGGGGTGCTTAGCAGCAACCTTGGCTTCTTCCTGCCGGATGCCTTCAGACCTCGCCCACTGGCCCCACACACGTGCGTGCGTGTGTGTGCGTGCGTGTGTGTGTGTGTGTGTGTGTGTGTGTGCGCGTGCGCGCGCACGTCGAACCCCTTTCACAGGGGCCGCCTAAGACCATCGGAAAACACAGATATTTACATTACGATTCATAACAGTAGCAAAATGACAGTTAGGAAGTAGCAACGAAAATCGTGTTGTGGTTGGGGTCACCACAGCAGGAGGAGCTGTGTGAAAGGGCTGTGCATCGGAAGGTGGGGAACCACTGGCCTCCGGGAAAAGAGGTCAGGGCCCTGACTCAGCAGTCAGGTGTGGGTGTTTGAAAACTTCTCGCAGTGCACCAGTTGAAAATCACTGACTTAGACAGCGGCTGGCCTGTGGTAGGTACCGGTAAAGAACTGCCATGTAACATGGACAGCGACGTGCCTGCTCCTGAGATCGGCCTGCGTTCCCACCAGGAAAGCGTGTGGAGGAAAAGGAAGTGTGGAGGAGGGCACTGAGCCCCCGTTGGGTGAAGGGTGCTTATGACTCCGGTGGCCGGGCAGCTCCCCCAGTCCTCTGGGGCCACGTGGGAGCTCCCGCGCCGAGCTGTTCGGGACAGTGGCCACCAGCCACGTGGCCATGGTCACTGCCACGTGGTTAGCCTGTTGCGACGTAGTCTCCGTGTAGAACACACGCTGACTTCAAACATGGAGCATGAAACAAAGAATGCGAAATCTCTCATTATATGTTGAAACTACTACAAAATTTTGAATATAGTAGACTAAGTGAAATGTATTAAAATTAATATCCTCTGTGTCTTTTAACTTTTTAATACCCCCCCCCCCACACACACACACAGGGAACTGAACCGTGTGGCTCAACCACTGGGCAACAGTGGCTGGTATATTTATTTTTAATATTTTTAAAATTTATTTTAGACAGAGAGGAAGGTGGAACAATAGAGAGAAACATCAATGAGAGAGACACATCCATCGGCCACCACCCCCCCCTGCATGCCCCGCACATTAAAATGTCTTTTAAAATTTTAAAGAAAAATTTCTTTTAAAATTTTAAAGGGAGAGGGAGAGAGAGAGAGAGAGAGAGAGAGAGAGAGAGAGAGAGAGAGAGAGACATCATGGATCGGCTGCCTCCTGCAAGCTTCCTACTGGGGGATCCAGCCTGCAACTGGGCCCTGTCAGGGAATGGAACCAGCGACCTCTTGGTTCATGGGTCCAAGCTCAACCCCTGAGCCACACCGGCTGGGCTCTTTTAACTTAAAAAAAATAAATAAATAAAGCGGCTACCTAGCACATTGAGAATGACGCCTGTGGCTCACCTAGCTTCCCATTGGATAGGGCCAGTCTCAGTGGTGGGCAACCGGGAAGACGCGAGCCCCCATTTCACAGATGCTGACACTGAGGCTCCGGGAGAGGATTCAGGCCCAGGGCAGCGCTGGCCTCGCCCCGGCACAGGGTCTCCTTTCCCCACCCCCGGGCTGTCCGGTACCAGGACGAGCCTAACCCTAGGCCTGCGATGGCCCCAGCGGAGAGGCGTCCTCTCTCCTGAACCACAAAGGTGGGCTGGAACCCCTTGATGTCGCACTTCCCGCGGGGCAGAGACCTCCCCAGACAAAACAAACCAGCCCTCGGGCCTGGCGGACGCAGCGGAGAGCGGAAACCCAGGGAGATCAAAGCCCCAGCGGATACCCCCTTCCGGACCCGCGGCTGGCGGCGCGCCCTGACCCCCGCGGCACCCATGGGCCTCCGGGCGGGGGCACCCCAGCGCTGGGCTGGCACCGCGCATCCCTCCAGCACTTGTCCCGCCGGGAGCGGGCTGGGCGCACCGGGCTGGGCGCACCGGGCTGGGCGCACCGCCGGCCCAGGACGCGGGGGAGCTGCGCCCGGACTCCCCGATCCAAGCCTGGAGGTGCCCCGGGCATGCACAGGTGCCATCTCGGTGCCATCACCTGCAGATGGCAGCTCCGCGTCTCGCCCGGCCGCTTCCAGGGAGCGCGGAGCGGAGGGAGGCGCTGGGCGGAGCGACTGGAGCGACAGGACAGAGCTGGTCCCCAAGCCTCCCACCAGGTCCCAGCACGAGTCCCTGGCCCCGGCACCCGCCTGGGGGGCGCACACGGCCGCCAGGAGGGGGCTCTGTGTCAGGGTCTCGCCGCGCCCGGCCCCCAGCTCTCTGACCACGCCCCCACCGCTGGCCCCGCCCCGCCGCTAGTCGCGCTCCAGCCGCTGACCACGCCCCACAGACGGCCCCGCCCCTCTGGCCCCGCCCTCGCCCCGCCCCCGGCGGCCGCCTCGCCTTTGATGCGCCGCCTTGGCCAATGGGCGCGCGGGGCGGCGCGGGGGCGGCGGGCCGGGGGCTCGGCGCGGCGGCGTCAGTCGGCGGCAGGAGCTGGTCCCGGCGCCGCCTCGGGCTCCGCTGGGCTCGGGAGCCGCTCCCGGAGGCGGAGGAGGCGGAGGCGGCGGCGGCGGCGGCGGAGGAGGAGGAGAGCCAGGCCGGGGCGGCAGCCGCGGGCCCGCGGGCCGGGCGATGGCTTAGGGCGCCCCGCCGCCGCGCCCCCAGCATGGGGAAACTTCACTCCAAGCCGGGTCAGTGTCTGTTCCCCGGCGCGCCGGCCCGGCCCCGGCCCCGGCCCCCGCCCCCCGCCCCCGCCCCCGCCCCGGCCCCCGGCCCCCCCCGCCCCCGCCGCCCGCCGCTAACTCTCTGCCTCTCCTTTCTTTCCGCCCCGCGATGTGCCTGCAGCCGCCGTGTGCAAGCGCAGGGAGAGCCCGGAAGGTAGGGCGCGGGGCGCGGGCGGGGGATGGAGGGGATGGAGGGGACGGCCTAGCCCGCGGGATCCCATTACCAGGCCGCCTCCGCCCCAGCTGCGGCCGCCGGTCCCGCAAACGTCCCCCGGAGCAGCCTGCGCGCCCCCTCTCCGCCCCCGCCCCGCGGTCCCGCGCCCCCTCCCTCCTCTCACGGTCCCCGCCCTCCGCGCTCGCTGCGCCCTCGCTTCAGACCTCCCAGCCCTTTCCTCCCAAACCCCGTCCCCTCTCTGCCAGGGGGTGGCTCCTGCGCCCCCTGCACCCCGTGCACCCCTTCCCCTGACCCTCAGCTCCCTCTCCCCCCGCCCCGTGCTCCTGCACCCCGTCCCAGCGGTCCTGGCCTCCGGGAGGCTGGCGCTTCTGTTCCCCAGACCCTTCCTCCTCGGGAGGGCACTGCCCCCGCCCCCCTTGCAGCTCCCCTCTGGGTCCCTGCTCTCGGGGCTCCTCTGAACCCCCTTCTGGCTGCCTGGGCGGTCTCTCGGGTTGTTTCCCAGCTCGGAGCCCCCTCCCAGCCCTCGCCTCCCGGTAACTTTGGGACCGTGTCCTCCCGCCAGGTGACAGCTTCGCCGTGAGCGCCGCCTGGGCCCGGAAGGGCATCGAGGAGTGGATCGGGTGGCAGCGCTGCCCGGGCGGCGGCTCCGGACCCCGACAGCTGCGGGCGGCGGGCACGGCCGGCAGAGGAACCCGGGTACGATCCCCACACCCCCTTCCTCCGCCTCCTGGTGGGTCTCCATCCCCTCCCCAGCGATCCGCACCCTCTGGGCACCGCTGAGCCCGGAGCCCCTCCCCCGCTGCCCCTGCCCCCCACCCACATGCCCCCCTGCCCCCAGGCCGGCGGGAACCTCACAGGTGGCTGGGTGGCAGTCCTCTGTGTGGCTGGGACAGGTCCGAGGGAGCAGGTGGGGCAGGTCCGGCCGGTGATGGGGAGCTGGTCTGAGCTGCGGGACGGGGGGTTCTGCTCTGACTGCCTCAGTGACCAGCACTCCCAGGTGGGCTTACTGGTGGGGCTGGGGCGAGAGCAGAGACTGAGGGGTGTCGGGGACGGAGCTGGCTTCCAAATAGGATCCGTGTGTCTGTGCGTCCATCAGCCCCGTCCGCCCGGGAGCCAGCGGGTCAGGCTGCCATCTGGGTGGCAGGGCATGGGGGCCGCCGAGAGCCGGTGGAGCCCCCAGCCGGGCCCAGGAGGACAGGAGAGAGAGCTCCCGCATTCGCCGCTCGCTGGGGGGCCCCTCCTGAGGTCCCGCAGTGGGATGGCTCCTGGCCCGCGGTATGTGTGCGGGGAGTGAGTCTGCACCGCGCCCGGCCAGGGACTGGCGCTCACACAGGCCCGCGGAGTGCCGAGCGCCACACGGGCTCTCAGATGGTCTGCGTGCCACTCCGGCGCGCCCAGATCAAAGCCGGATCCACTTTTTGATGTGACATTTAATTTTTTTTTTTTAACTTCGAGGGGAACAGGCTGAGTCTCAGGTCTGGTTAGTGCTTTGGTCTTGTCCGCGGGCTGGGGAGGGCCTGTGGAGTGTGTGTGTGCGTGTGCGTGTGTGTGTGTGGTGATGGTGGGACCGGGCTGGGCGCAGCTCCATGGCCCGGGCTAGGGGTGGGAGGTGAGCCCGGGGAGACAGGCGACTCCCGGGCACGGCTGGAATCGCCCCTGATTCCGGGAGAAGCTCGCACCTGCCCCCTCCGCTGCCTCCGCTTACCGAGCCGGGCCTTTCCCGGCCGCACGTCTGCACGCCGAGGCCAGGCAGGTCGGAACGGGCGCTGCCGCCACCCCTGGTCCGGCCAGAGTGTGCCGGGTGGGGCGCGGTCGCTGGGCTCTTTGAAAACAGACCCGCCAGCCTCCCCCCCTCCCGCCCCCCGCCCCAGCATCTCGAGTTTACGACCCACATCTTCGTTTTAAAGCCCAATGAAAGCGATCCGACGGAGCCACACGCACACACGCATTCGTGGCCCGAGACACAGGCCAGCCGAGTGGCTTTCCATTAATCAAGTTTGGGTTTTTTCCCGCCTGTTTATTTTTACAAAGTATTCCTGCAGAATGACAGTGGTTTTTTTTTTGCAGCCCCCCCCCTCCCCCCATCCCCGCACCCCCTTTCCCTAAACGGCCGGCAGCCTGCCCCGTGCTTCAGGGGAAACTTGAAATACATCGAGGCTCCCTTCAGCCGACTTTTATCTTCAAAGCCGGAACAAATGTTCCCCGCATGTGTCTGGTGGGTCTCCTTGGCATCCAGGCCTGGAGGAAGGACGGGGGGAAAACAAAAGTCTGTCGTTTTTAATTAAATAGTGGCGTTCACGGCAGAAGGAATGCGGGCCAGTAAAAGTTGCCGTGGGGGGAAGCGAGGGCGGGCGGGGAGGGGCCCCGGCTTGAGTCGGTGGCTTTGGTGGAGGCACGGAATTGTGGTGCCTGGCCTGGTTCTGTCCCCCAGCTGGGGACGGCCACCGCTCCCCCCGCCCCCCCATCTCAGAGAGACACGGAGGGGCCATTACTGTTTGTTCAAAGCACTTTTGAAGATGTGAGGCATAGAACCATGACCGTGACACATGTTGGGTGGTGGGTGGAGGAGAGTGGAGGGTGGGGGTGGGGGTGGGGGTGGGGGTGGGGGTGGGCCCTGCCCTCAAGATATTAAGGGGAGGGGACCTTTGCTCCTTGAAGTTGTGCTTGGGACTGGGACCCGCACACCTGGCTGTGCAAGGGCCCAGGCCCAGCTGCTGAGCCCACAGAGGGGGACATAGAACATGCACAGAGGGGGGAGGTCACGTGCACAGAGGGGAGAGGTCACGTGCACAAAGGGGAGAGGTCATGTGCACAGAGGGAGAGGTCATGTGCACAGAGAGGGGAGGTCACGTGCCCAGAGGGGAGAGGTCATATGCACAGAGGGAGAGGTCACGTGCACAGAGGGGAGAGGTCATGTGCACAGAGAGGGGAGGTCATGTGCACAGATAGGGGAGGTCATGTGCACAGAGGGGAGAGGTCACGTGCACAGAGGGAGAGGTCATGTGCACAGAGAGGGGAGGTCATGTGCCCAGAGGGGAGAGGTCACGTGCACAGAGGGGAGAGGTCACATGCACAGAGGGGAGAGGTCACGTGCACAGAGGGAGAGGTCACGTGCACAGAGGGGAGAGGTCACATGCACAGAGGGGAGAGGTCACGTGCACAGAGGGAGAGGTCATGTGCACAGAGAGGGGAGGTCATGTGCACAGAGGGGAGAGGTCACGGGGGCCCAAGGTGGCCTGCACGGTGGTTTCAGGTGGTACCTGGAGGAATATGCTTAATCCTGACAGTTCTGTTTTCTTTTATCTAAAGAAAAAGAGCTAGGACATCAAACTTGTGATGTCACAGACGCTCTTGTGACTCCCAGATAAAGAATGAAGTGCCAGGGGTCAAAATGATGGCTGTGGGGACGGAATGCCCAAAGTTTGGGAGACACGGGACCCCCCCCCCCCAGGACGGCGGTGGGCAGCCCACAGTCTGGTTTCTCCCTGGGACTCCCAGAGGCAGGGGCGGGGCTGCAGGTTCTCCTGTGATGTCGTCCGGACGGGGCAGGTGTGGGCTCCCATGTCTGTGGCTCCCAGGGCTGGCAGGGGTGCCCCCCCCCCCCAGCTGCCCCAGGCCTGCCTTGGGGTTGGCCTCTGTCCCAGCCCCTTCACGGGCCTTCCACCGAAGTGGCTGGGGACACGGTGGTGGCTCATTGGTTCCTCTGATTATTACCGCAATGGTAACTACTGCTTATTAAGTGTCTGTGTCGAGCACGAGGCCCACCTTATCTTAACCCTCCCCATAGCCCGTGGGGTTAGCAGCCAGCGGGGGGACTCTGTCCCTTTCTGGAGCCCCTTCTAGGACGTCGGAAGCCCCAAGGTGAGGCAGGTTTTGGGGTACACAGATGCGGGAGGGGCCCCTGCTTGCCCTCATTCTCCCTGATGGCGTCTGAGTGGCTTAGGAAGCGTTCAGGGCAGGTCCGGGTCACATGCAAGGTCCTGGGGTGTCAGAGGGGCCCCCCCGCTGGCACCGACCCAAGCCCGTCTTCCCGAATGCAAACCAAACGAGGCCAGGCTCTGCCCCACGAGCAGGTCAGCTCGGACGAGCCACGCCACCTTCATACACCTCGGTGGGCTCATCTGCAAAATGGGTCTAAGACGGTGGTCAGCAAACTCATCGGTCCAAAGAGCCAGATACCAACAGGACAATGATTGAGAATTCTTTGGAGAGCCAAAGATTTTAAACGTAAACTTTTTCTAACGCCACTTCTTCAACATAGACTCGCCCAGGCCGTGGCATTTTGTGGAAGAGCCACACTCCAGGGACCACAGAGCCACATGTGTGACTCCATGAGTCACAGTTTGCCAATCACGGGTCTAAGAAAATCACCCCCGGCCGGCTTCCGGCAGATGACAAACCGGGAGGGTCACTGAGACACGGGGAGGGGTGGAGATGGGGACCCCAGATTATGAGAGCAGAGTCCCCCCGTCCCTTACCACTGTAGACTCCCTTGGAGGGACACAGGTGCTTCCGTGTCCTCTCCGTGGGTTCAAGGTCACGTCCAGGGGAACGTGAGCTCCGGGGAGAGAAATAATGAGGAACGGGAGGTGCACGCGTCCCACGAGAGGAACACTAAAAGGGGCGGTCATGTGCCCCCAGCAGCGTGCCCGCGGGGAGGGTAAAATAAGCGCAGAACGGGGTCCCGGATGGTCTTGGACGCAGGAGGCAGCACCAGGCAGCTGCACCTTTGGGATGTGGGAGCTGGACGGGGTGAAAGAGGAAAGCTTAGCAGCACAGAGACCTCGCTGGAGCAGCCCCGAGGAGCAGGGCGTGTGTGCCTGTGTGCACACACCTGCTGCGTGTGCTCGTGTGTGTGTGTGTGTGTGTGTGTGTATTGGAGTCGGCTGCCTCCCCACGCCCAAGTGGCCCTTTTGTCCTTAAAAAAAATAAGTATATATATATTTTATTGATTTTTTACAGAGAGGAAGAGAGAGGGATAGAGAGAGAAACATCAATCGGTTGCTTCCTGCACACCCCCTGCTGGGGATGTGCCCGAAACCGAGGTACATGCCCTTGACCAGAATCGAACCCAGGACTCTTCAGTCCGCAGGCCGACGCTCTATCCCCTGAGCCAAACGGTTTTCTGCTCTTTTGTTCTTTTCCGTGCAGGGAGCTGGGTCCGGGCAGGCCGGGCTGCCTGGAGCAGAGGGGCTGCCAGGCTGTGTGGGGGTGTGAGGCGGGGACACCCCGTGCCTCCTGCTGTTTGGGGGAGATGGGGAGGGCGCAGGCCGGGCTGGGGCCCGGGGTCCCCCGAGGGGCTGGGCGCTGAGGTTGGAGGCGGCCCAGCTGCTGCCCTCGCGCCGGATTCCCGGGGAATTACCCTTGAATGATACCAGTTGGCACAATTAAAAGGCCCATGTCTTCGGCATATGGAAAGTGTTAGGCCTCCTTACGTGGCTCCAAAGCTATGTGCCGGGAGGTGGACTTGACATTTGAGGTAAAGCATAAATTAAATATTTGGTGTTTTGGAATTAAGAGACGATTTGCTTTGAGGCTGGCAGAGGCATGTGGGCCTCCGCTCGCTGGCATCTCGGGGCGCTCCCCGGAGGGCTCCCCTGCCCGGCACCCCGGCCGGTGTCCAGCCCCGCCCGGGAGCTTGCTCTCCCCCAGGGCGGCCGGAGGAGGGCGGGCGGCCGGGGCTGGGCACCGCGCCA